ATTGCGTAAAGTTGGAAGTAAAATTGTTTGGTTTTTTTTCAATCTTTTTATCTATATACAGATAATTTTATCTTTATCTCTATCAATTATATATATATATAAATATTTGGATAAATCAAAATATTACTCGTTCTATCTACTTTCAACTTCTTCCTGTTTATGTTTTAGTCGTTGGAAGTAAAGGAATGAAATGAAACTGCTGCAATCATAAGTTTCAACAATAAATCTATTAAGCTTATGTAATTTGCGTAACTTTTAATTGTAAATAATGTATAGTAAAAGTGAAGAGTTTAATTCATTTACATGACTTGGTAGCTGCTGGGCTGTGGGTAGTTGCCGGATATGCTACTGTTCTTAATGTAAAAAAATTAGTGTAATGTCATTCTGATTTCAGTGCTATCTAACTTTTTTTTTTTTGTATTTTCCTATAGAATTTTAAGTGTTGCAAGAAGGTCCCACTTGTATGCTTCTACATGCATAAATTAATTTTGATTTATTTATTTTATCTTCCTTGTATGCTCAAACAACCATGGCAGTGAGAAGAAGGGGGGGATCTTATTGCAGCAGATGATCCAGATAGGCATAAATTAATGTGTAACATATATATGGGACACTAATTTAATTAAAATTTTGAACTTACATATTTTGGAGTAAATTCAATATATAGAATATGATTCTTTTAATTCCTAGTAAAGTCGAACTGAATAATTATAGAAAAGAAAAGATAAATGAACTTGTTGTGCTGAAGACTGATAAGTTTGGAAAGAAAAGGTCAAGAGCTTTTACATCTTATGAGCATGATGTTTTGAGGGTGGGACTTGGTGTAATAGCAAGGTTACCCAAAATTGTCTTCAGGCATATTGATATACAATAGTTATAACATATTCTTAGGCTTGCTAAATAGCATAGGGCATTTTGGAGTTCATTAACTGCGTTTTTTAACCATTTGCCTGTCACCAAACGCTCTTAGTAATTTTTCACTATGATGTTTCTATGCAAGGAATGCTACATCCAACAAGTTACAATGTCAAAAAAGCATTCTCTGGTACAGTTATACTCCATCTGCATGTACTATGTAATATTCATGTATATATATGTATATGATTAAATACATACATACATATATATATATATACTTATATAAATAAATAGATATATATACA